TGCGAGGAAATTCGGGTTATGTTTGCAAAAGGTTACAACTGTTTTCATCTGTACTACGGAGACCAACTCATATACCTTCTTGAATAAACAATCAGATGACTTGTGATTAGGCTCATTTGGATAGTGCTTGGGCGGTCACCAACTCACATTACCGAAGCGATGTAAGGACAAAGCCATGCTACTGGCAGATATCTATGTGACGGTTTCTTTCTCTCGTGCCACCAGTAGACCTGTTATGATCTCTCCTCGTTCTGGGAAGGAGGGGTTATTATACGTCTTACTTCCCACATAATGTCTACGCTTCGTGTTACCTGCATATATTAGGGTTTCCCATATGTATGCACCTCCACTAGCTTCACTCATAAGTGAACTGTGTCACAATAATAAGGCTTTTCTCTTTCCGGTAATTCAAGAAGAAATCACCTTATATGGTGAAGGCTTTTTGAAGTTGAAACTTCCGACAATTCCCCATCAGCAAACAAAGTTCTTCTGTCCCCAAGTCACTATCCTCTTATATTTTTTCTCGCTACTCTTTCTCTACAAGCTGGTTCCTCACCACTTTTCATTTTGTTACCACTGCTGGGTGGTGAAACATCTGTCTAGTCTTCTAAAAACAACCGCTTTTAACATCCGTACTTTATATAGAATTAAGAAATGAACCTCACCAACCAAAGTTCTTGTGTCTCTGGTTTCAAAAATGTGTAACATCGAGAAATGTAAGTCCCACGCACAATTATTTACTTAACTCCACCTGGCCGACGTAGAAAACAGTCTACAAGTCTAGAAACTGTACGAAAATATGAGAGAGATAACTAAACATTTATCTAATTATAACAGCAGTAAATATCCTCAAGAAGTTTGGTGGTACGTCCACCTTAGTAGAGCGACAGGAGTGCGGAGTTGGCAAACTGTCAGTTGCTAATCTGAAATGAGACGTAGAAGGTGTTTAAGGATGCCAGAAGTCAGTAATCGACTTGATGGTTTTAACTACACCTTTATTTAACCATACTGGGAGACGTCCCCGTGCATGAAAAATCAAGTCCCTAGAACAAGGGCCTATATAACTCGCTCCACAAGCGCAGTTGAATTGGTAGATACAGTTAAAAGTGGCTAGTCTAGGTACTTCATCTCTCAACTGAGGAATCGCCATCAGTCGTGTAGAAAGTAAGGCTTGTTGCCTGGCCTCATTAAAAGTTCCCTGAACTGATTTTTTAACTTCGTAATTATTTCGATCGGTATATCGTCTTTGAATTGCAGTCTTATGTATGAAGGCTTCTTGTTTACGGCTAGTGAGTAGTCTTTTTCCGTTTTCTTTGTCATGTGTTTCTTGATATATTTGTTGGGGTGGCTATTTTCAATCAAGGTATCATATAAAATCCTTAGTTCATCTTCAGTGACCTCTTCTGGGCTAGATGAGGGTTAGAGCTATATGCTCAGATGAGGTAATTGAAGATGAATCAAGGATTTGATATGACACCTTGATCGAGACTACAAATTCATGAATTTGCATTCTTTTCTAATTTCTCTGCCACTGTTTATTGTTAATGTTGATGCTATTGAACTTTATTCTACTGATATTGTTGATTCGATGTTATTTAAGCATTAATGTTGTTAATATCACAAGTTCATTCACTATAAGGTGTATATAACTGTAGAACATGATGATGAAGTTATCGAAAAGAATAAATCCTTGTTCAGTAGCCATTCTTCTTAATATTTAACGTTAACCAAGATATTCTACTATAACACCTTATGGAAAGTTGCCATCCTAGGTGAAGACTAGCAGTACCCCTGAGGGATACCAGCCGTCACCGTTTTAATTTAATTTCGCGTTACATTTACTAATTGATGTGACCCTGACTTGGACTTCACAAGGACTCACTTTCTAGTAGAAAAGTCTAATAAAGGGTATGTGGACGATACAGTCACGAGTTGTATAGATGCTTACAAAGTATAGGCTTCCGAATAGCGGAAATCCAAATACACCTGGCACATGATTCGCTTGTCAAATGTAAGACTGCTTCAGTGTCTGCACCAACTCCTAGTGTAAGGGTGAGGAAAGAAGTGTTCGGGCACTAACTACTTCACTTATTTGGGAAGTCGCCTTTACACTAGTGGACTGATTCCTCAAGATTTTTTTAGCATATATTCAAAGAGTTTGTTCGACATTCGTAAAACGAATTAGCTTTGGTGCCAGCATGACATCCAGTTATCTGTCAAAGGACGTGTATGTTGTGTAGCAGCCCGCCCTGTCCTTCTCTAGAAGTATGAAACATAACCTTTAGAAGTGGAAGATATGAAAAGATCAGTCGACTTTTATCATAGGTGCCTTGATTCAACCTTACGTGTTATGTTGTGCAATATGTTCAATAACAATGAGGTTAGGTAAAGCGAACAAGTCGAGAGGCATGGTCGTGAAGCTACACCGACTAAGATGGCTGCGACGTGTGTTCCACATACAAAGCCTTTGCAGGAGTGCAATTATGAGTGGTTGGGAAAGGTTTGGAGATGGTCCAACGAAAAAATAGTACTAATCTACCAAGTCTTTAGCTGTCGGTTTGAGCTGCATGGAGGGGAGTAGACTGTCTACCCCGTTCCCGTGATATCAATTAATGTGGCCCACTGTCTTAGGCACTCGGCGGTCAGATAATCAGACCTGGTTCCGTACCTAGTATCACTCAATATAGCCTCGACAGTATCATCAGATCATACTGTAGATCAGAGCTTGGTAGTTGAGTTCTGACTGATTACCAAGTATTTTCGATGAGGTTTAAAACTGTCTACAGTGGATATACTCCTAGTCATCTTCCAGATTCTGAATATTTAGTTATCCTTTTAGCCACACATCTCTACTCTAATGTAGCTTCGTCAAACTCATGTTCTTTATTTATTGATTTGCTGAAGTGCGGCAACTTGGATTGGTGCACTTATGCGGAAAATCTGCCGCAAAGTTATTCACAATAGGGTCATGCCATATTTAACAAAACGGTAGTAGATAACTAACGTCTAAGTACAGTCCTGACAATCTACCGCTCGGATACTGTGGAGAATTGCAAGGAATATTTGACTCGTATAAACGTATGGCTTATTGGTAGAAGAGTATTACGTACCCATCCCTGGGTGTCAGTCTGACAAGCCCACTAGGCAGGTGGTAACAGTTGAAAGGCCAGTGACAAAAGACTTCTAAAGAAGGCTGTTTTGAATCTCACCTTACTCCCTTCTCCTGTTTTGTGTGCCACATGGGGTGTGGAAACTCGTACTGCTGCACACCTGTGTAAAGTTCTATGCTAAATCTAGTCAATCACATGTAGAAACAGGAGGGAATGTGAAGGGTGGCACTTAGCGGAGTGCTATGAATAGAAACGAGACCGGAGGGCTAGCATAAGTCTTCTCTACTAAGAACAGTTCTTAAGTTACCTTTGCCACATAAAAGACAATCCATTACACTTAATGGATGTGAAGTTTGGGCATAAACTCCATAAGTAATCAACAGTCTTAATTCATCTATGTAGTGGATGGATCAGCGTTATGCAGAAATCAACTATTCATATGCATTGATGCTAAAGGTTTTATGCTACAATACTGTGTTCATTGTACATAAGTTATTTCAGACTGATAGTCTTACATTCAAGAATTAACAAACGTTCCAAGTACAATTAGCAAGCACCAAGCGACTGACCTTGTTTAGTCCTTATGAGAGGAGGATGGAAAATGTTAATCCCTCTTTACTATGACCTATTAGGAGTAAATGATTTTATTCTGGCGCATAGTGTCCTAAGTAATGACTTAGTGTTGGTTTCTAGTTCATTTTCCTTTCAAAGTAAGACCCAAAAGATAGTTTAACTTATTTATCTGTTAAGTAGTCAACGACCGGAAATTACTACCATACTCTACCCAATAGCCACTCAGAAGTGATTTCAGCATGGGCAAGATACAAAAACGGTAATAACAGAAATACCGCAATACTTCGTCGAGAAGCTTACTATACGTAAACTCTCCTGTCAAACAACCTTATCACAGCGACATGATTAAATGTGCATACAGTGATGGTGGGATGTTACTTGATATGCATTGTACATGATATTGGATATCATATAGTACACTACCCACAATACAACCGAATCTACAGTTAAAGTACAGCTGATTATAAATACAATGCGAAGTAACATTTTAGTTTCGAAAGTTACAAACCTCCATGTGTTAGATCAATGTTATAAAAACCCTCTTCCTTTCGGAGTTAGACGAATCACTTTTATTTAATCAATAAACCCTATAAAAACCACAAGCATCTGGTGTAAATTCACTGAAACCGTAAAGCACATGTCCTTCCCGTATCACCTGTGCGAAGTTCCGATTGTATTATTCTACATTGAGCCAGTTATTGATCGGAACCCTTCTTATACAAGTGGATGACGAAAGTGTTTATTAGTTAATCCACTATTAATCTAGACTGTTTACAGCACATTTAATTACTTAAGCACTGAAAACGCACATACGTACGCAACCAATCTGCTTTATACTTGCATTTTATTCTGAAACTAAGACCTTAAGGTGTTTTGAAAAGAACGCCGATGAATTTACTTAAATGTATATTCTGAATGCTAAGTCAAAATCAATAATTTAGCACCTAGTATTGTTACCTTATCTTTGTCTAAGAACAGTTAGTGCAACTGAAAATCGCTAGCTTTAAACCCACCTTGTTAACTGACCACATTCGGCTGTGTTGAAGGCTTCTTGTCACAGCGCTCTTCATTCTTTAGCGACATAACTGCAGTATCCACTCCGCGTTGAAAACTGTAGGTCGAAGAATCTGCGTGTACACACGGGAACATGCCACATCTTATCTTTATCCAAGTGCAACCCAACCAGATCCTCAAAACAAGTCACTAACAGCTGCCAGTACAAAGCAATATCAAAATAAGCGATTCGTATATTTATACAGCAAGTGATATAAAAGGTAGTCAAAATGCACTAGGCGTATGGTTTTACAGTGACGTTACTTAGCGTTGTTGCCAACCATTGCCAGTATATGGGGCGGGACGCGAGTACGAAGGAGCTGTAGGCGCAGTCCTCATAGGACCTCCACCATAGGATTGTTGCTGATAGTTGCCAAAGCCATCGGCCGTATTAGGCCAAGCTCCCGCAGATGAACTTGCCTCATAACCACCATAACCTAAAGGTAAGGTATAATTATCATATCGAGCTTACCATAGCCTGCACCATTGTAGGCATATGGCTGTTGCTGTCTGCTTGGTTGATTATAGCCTTGATCCCAAGGCTGTTGTTGAAAACCTCCATTTGTGTGGTCATTCCAGCCATCGCCATTGTATTCAGCTCTTACTGGCGCAGGTTTAGACCTCATCTTGTTCATTTCCTCTCTGCTAAGTGCTTTGCGTACATCCGCCTTCGAGTCTTTAATAGTGTGTGGGCGGCCTAAAATCACTTTATCAACTGCATCTGTATCATCAAATGTTACGAATGCGAACCCTCGAGAAGTATTTGTATCTTTCGCCATTACTATTTGAGCATCAACCACATTTCCATACTGAGAGAAATAGTCATTCAGGTCCTCACTTGTTACGTCTTTTCGCAGAGCACCTACAAAAATTTTCCTCACCGCGGCATGTACCTCAGGACTAGTTTCCTCTCGAGGCATAGCTCGTTTTGAGTCTACTTCTTTTCCATCTAACGAATGAGGGCGATTGTTTTGTGCAGCATCAACAGACGACGCATCTTTATAGGTTACGAAACCGAAGCCCCTAGATTTCTGGGACCTAGGATCTTTCATGACTACAACGTCGATTATTTCACCCCATTGTTCATAATAACTTTTCAGAGAATTCTCATCAGTTTTAGGGTTAAGTCCACCAACAAACAGCTTTTTATCCTGATCAGCCTTTGAGTCCCCAAATGGACGCATTATGACACTACTTCTAGGAAAATTATTTACACATACGTGAAACAAACCAACGAGAAACGAAAATAGCGCCAACGCAGAGTAAACGCAAGCGGATGGAGGAATAATGAAACAAACTGATCAAGCATGAAACTGACTAATACTATTTTCACACATCACATTTTACCGGTCTTGATATTTCATGTGTATTTCAAATGATTATTGTTTCTTTTCATGTTAATGTCTAATCCAACTTTTTGGAAAACATTTCTAAATGTTGAAGTGCATGAAATAAATTCTTCTGACATTGGTTTTCACTAAATTTTATAATATAAGGCAGGTAAAGCTTGGGATTTCTATGAGACTGAATTTGCGCTACATGCTTTCTGCATTCACCAATCACATTTCAGTGACTACCTTCCCTTCATTTACACCCGTATGTAGCATATTCTTCCTTTCTATTCTTGTTCTACATGTCTTCTATTGCTGTTCAAACCGAGGAAACTGTAACTGAAAACAATTTAAATGCCTCTCCAAGTATTGGCCTCTTTACTCAAATTTTATCGATCCTCGATGATGAACATAATGATTTTTATTATGATATTTCTGATTACTGTCCAAGTTTGCCTTCAAAAGCAGATGAATGGCATGTCGATAATGTAAGCATGAGTGGAAATCTTGAAATTTCAACATTTAGTCAAGAGGTAAGTCCTGGAATTTACGCTTTATCACAAGATTTTGAATGGCGATTTTTTGTTATTTTCTAAGTAATATTGTACTGGCAATACTAACTTCAGAAATTCTTGAGATTCACAAGAAAATATATTTGGACACCTTATCGAGTTTATAACATAGTAGGATGGCCAGATTACCCAAAGTTATCTGCAGGCCTGAAGTTTTCATCCCCAGTGCCTTGAACCTGGTTTTGTGAAAAATCATTCATATTTGAAAGTGCCATCAGTATTCCTAGCTATTAGAGTTGTTAGGGCTTGTGACGAATTAGTTCGAGGGCCTTATTAAATTCTTTGTTTTATTTACTGTATCTGGACTTGTGTTGATGACGTCTCGTACTATGAGACCAAAGGAACAAAAAGTGACAATTTTTCACCGTAAATCTGAAGATACTTCTGGGCAGCACATCGGCAACAACGATAACTAATTTCCACACAACGCTGTGTCCAGATATAAGGATCACTGCTGGTTTTTTTTTGTTTCATCATATGAAACTCCATGACTAGACCTTCCCAAATGCATTTCTGTCTCATATAGATCGACTCGTTAAGACGGACTTGAATGTGAATAATACAGAAAGAGTTGGATGAAACTTTTGGATATTTCACCTACTCCACTCGCTTTATCGTATGCATGCGCTAAAAGTTCCATAATTTTTACCTTCGCTCAATAATTAAATGCCGCCATCGCCTTTTTATTTATTCAGTACTGCCCAAAATTCTGGATGTGAAGGATGTGTTATGCCTCGCCTGATATACAGAAAGAATCAGGAATATCTTCACCCTAAAACTTAAAGTAGTGGCTACATCTTTTCCACTGGCGTTGGCCACCCTCTGTCGCTATCATTAGCTTCTTCTAACGTATAAAAGCTTTCAGTCCCCCAACTAAGGATTTCACCGCTACGCAATTCTCACAGCTAGTGGCATTGGTCCAGCCAAAACATCATAGGTAGTTGCTCATGGTGTTATGATACGCGTTCCCAAAAAGTAATGCATTTTGTGAAGATTTTACCCTAAGCACTTCAATCTTGATAGCATAAAGCCACGTAATTATGCCACTTGGTATAACTTCGATAGTGAAATCTAATAAATAATTAAATTAAGAACACAATATTCAACGAAGAGACTGTTTTCAACGAATTTATTGTCAGGCTGTACAATCATATATATACGGTTTTTTCAAGAAATTAAATCCGGTGAGGGAATTAGGTCAAAGGTGTGAATGCATGAAATAATAATAGTATGAAATGCAATTAAAATATTTGTGATTATAATCATGGTTCATTGTCAAGTGGCAAAATAATTAATGTCATAAGTAGAATAATACATGAGGTGTATAGAGTTTGTAAAGGTAATTGCGTTTCATAACATTATTATTTCATGTATTCACACCCACCTAATTCCCTCACCGAATTTTATTTCTTAAAAACCATATATATATACGACAGCACAGCTTGATAATAAATTTGTTGAAAACAGTCTCTTGGCTGAATATTGTGTTCTTAATGCTACAATGGGAGTTATTAAGGAAATAATTAAATGCCTGAAAAATGGTAATTGTTATCATATCTGTGATTTTTCTTGCACCAGCAAATATCAGCCCCCCATCATTCTTCATATAGTGAAGAAGTAATACTTCCCTTAAAATACTTGAAATGGTGATTTCAAGCAGACCTAGCATGCTCTCTTAAAGTTTCTTACTGCCAATCCTTTCTGGCTACTTGACCACTAATATGGATAAAAGTCTGCAATGGCTCATGAGAGATGCTTTTCGTGACGCGCAAAGTTTCCGAACCATATAGAATAATTAACTGAGCATCCGAATCTTGTTCTGTGTGCTGGTTGCATCAGGTTTCCAGACTAATTTTAGAGTGATGAAGATATGCCTTGCCTGGCATAGACAAAAGCATGATTCTTCAACATAAACTGCACAGACCCAAGGCGCGCTTCTTTGATAGTTTAACCAGATAGTCTCTCTTCCGATCTGTAGGTACCTTCCCTTCCTCTGAAACTTTGTGAGGTAGTGGCGTCAGTATATCCGAGGATGGCTCTGAAACCGTTTCCAGTGTCACTGGGAGAATTCTGCCTGGTCCCGCGTTCTTTCCACAATTCGTTAGCTTGATCGCATTCAGGACTTCAAGAGTTTTCTGGAGAATTAATGTGCACTGGCAGATCTGTGGAGGCCATTAGGGTTATTTCCGGAAGATTTGCAGGTGATGGTGGATTCAAGAGTCCTTTGAAGTGACCAGCCCATTGTCCTGTTTATTTCTCCTCCTTGGTAATGTGGTTCCCTTCAGCATCTTTGATTGGTTTCTCCACCTGGGTTGATCTCTTACTGAATAGAGACCCGGTTATCTGATATAATGTCCTCAGATCTCTCTTATCTTTGACCTGCCTGTTCTGCTTCAGCTGCCAATTTGTCTCAGAATCGTCTTCTATCTTTCCTCACACTCGTCTTCACTTCTTTATTCAGTGCAGCGTACATTGAAATCAGCTTCTACTTCTATTGTCCAACCTTGCATTGCGTCATCTTCTCTTTCACCATTCCCCTCTCCTCTATTCTATTAGCTTCCAGGTAGGTGTCGGTTGAGAGTCATTCCTTGTCTTGTCTCTTCTTTCTTCCCAAAATGGTTCTATACGTTTCCTGGAACATCACCTTCAGAGAGTTAGGTCCAATGTTCTTCCACTCAGGTTTCCTCAGTGATGCCTAGACTTAGTGTCCTCGAATTCGCTCTGATCTGATGTGTGGTGAAGGAATCATTTGTAGTTTTGTCCTTAAGTTTCTGAATGTTGAACTTAAAATGCACTGGCCTGTCTCCAGTTGTTCTGAAGGATTCAGCTTTACCTTGAAGGTTCCTTGAACTAGATGATGGTCTGAGCCCACATCTCCTCCCCTTCTCGACTTTGTATCCAACAGGCTAGCTGCGTCTCCACTTCTTGAGCAGCAGTGAGATGAAGTCCATTTGGTTTGTCCATTAGGCGAAATCCATGTTGGTGTGTGTATATCCTTGTGCTTTTACATGCTGCATCCGGTAGCCAGATCAGTGAAAGCACAGAAGTCTGAGAATATTCCCCCGTTCTGATTCATTTTGTCGGAGAGAGCCTCTCGACCCATGATGAGTCCTCTCCTGTATTATCCGCTCCCAGTCTGGCATTCATATCTCCCGTGAGGATTTCGATGTCACCATTCAGGATGTTGTACATTACTGTTAGTAGCTGTCTGTAAAAATCTTCCTTCTTCTTTTGTTCCGCGTTGTTTGTAGTAGTGTGCGTAGCATTGGATAGTTGTGACCTTCCTTCATTTGGAGTAGAACCTTGTTGTCATGATCCTGGATGAGGGGGTTGTTTCCCACTGCATTGGGGCTATGGCCGCCACTGGTGTCATCGTGATAGCCACTTCCTCAGTGTGTTCATGGTTGTCGTCTGAGGGGCCGGAGTAGACTAACGATTTTCCGGTTGACAATTTTGACAATCATTATCCATTCCATCTGCTCTCGCAGATATCCAGCACTTCTAGACAATATCTTCTCATTTCTTTGGCTACCTGAGCAGCCTTCCAAGTCTCGTACATTATGAAGACATTCCACTTCCCCATTCTTATTCTTGCTATTATCAAGAGAATACACATAGGCTGACTGGCTTCCCAGTGGCCTTTATGAACCCGCGTTATTCCGTCTCTCTGATTCCATGAAAAAGAACTTTCTGTTGTGTACCTTTAATATCATTATGTGCGTTGAATTTTCTGTGGCTTTCTGACTAGTTTTGCAGCATAGGGTCGCTAGTCCCACGTGCAACCCTCCTTTTTTCCCTGGCTAGGGATCGGCTGAGAATTTGGCAGACTACCAAATCTGGTTTGGTTAGACGAAATCTGACAGCTTTAAGTTACTCGCGAAATGCTATTGTAATTCTTAAAGATATAAAAATAAACGCATCACATTCGAATATTCATCGGTAAAAAATCAGCTGCAGTTAGGGTGAATCCAAATATTGACTAAATACACACATGACGATATTCACGAATGCCTTCGAAATGAAAAATTCTGCTTGTTTTGGCTCCACTTTTAAACTCCGCATTCCATTTCGTGGCATTGCAGTCAGGCTGCATGCTGGTTGGAGTGAACTTCATCTAGATTTTAAATTTCCATTGTTTCATTGTTTGAGTGGCTTTTGTAAGCGACTTACGGTATCAAATCAGCTGAATCAGATTATTTGGCTCGTGGTACATCTCCAGAATCCCTCTCACGCAACGAAGGTCACAGAAAAGCTTCAGAAGGTTAATAAGCAAAATGCAACGAAAATAAGTGGTATGGACGCTAAGATTTCACCGAAAGTACCCAAAACTAGGGCTTCTGAACTCCTCTGGTTTGACGGATGACAAACACCAGATGGTGCATTTCTGATAAGTATGGCTTAATATGTCCCCATCGTTCGTTGTGATCTGTACCTTGATGAATGTGCGAAAACGATAGGTATAGGTATAAAACTTGTGCACTGGGGTAGAGCATATCTCCCTTATAGATGAGATTTCATTTTGATAAATCACAGTGTTGTACAGTAATAACTGGGGACGTTTCGCGCACAAATTATTGCTCATAATCAAGAAGGTTGTGTGAGTGACATGATATGATTATGAGCAATAATTTATGCTCTAAACGTCACCAGTTAGTGCGGCTGTATAGCACTGTGTGATTTATAAAAATAAAATCTTATCCGTTGTGGAGTAAAACTGATAGGAACTGTATGAAAGGAAATGAATTCATTAATTAATTTGAGCTTCAGTCATCCCCTCTAAAGGGACGAATTTATCTGTCTGAATTTAAAGAGATGAAAAAAGACACACCGAGGACAGCCAAATTTTCAGGGCATGAAAGTTTCACAGTCTCTGCGCAGGTGAGTTGAAACGAACATATACAAAAATGCGAAATAGTAAATGAATCGCAATACTGGCATCCCTCGGTCTATTATTAGATGCA